GGGGGGCGGCCTCTTTTCAGTGGTGGGCAGGGATAGGACTAGAGGAAATGGCTTCAAACTGAAGCATCGGAAGTTCCACAGGAACTTAAGGAAGCATTTCTTCACTGTGAGGGTGACAAAGCCCTGGAACAGGCTGCCCAGAGAGGTTGTGGGGTCTCCTTCTTTGTTGATCTTTAAAACCCACTTGGATGCAGCCCTGTGCCATGTGCTCTAGGTGACCCTGCGTGAGCAGGGGGGTTGGACTCGATGACCTCTGAGGTCCCTTCCAACCTTGGGCTTTCTATGATTCTATGACTGCATGCAGTCCTGGTCAGTGTTAGCAGCTCAGTGCCAAAGAGATAAGTGCTCTGGGATCCTTGATCTTGCCCAGGGCGCTGTGGCCTGCAAGGCCCGAGGCCTCGCGCTGCGCTGACGTGCCCTGGGCTGGGCCTAATGGCTGCATCTGCAGCGAGGACTCCTCACCAGCTGCACCCTGCATCACTGAGCCGGCGTGGCAGGCCCTGCGCTTTGGGTAGTTCGTGTTTATTTCCTCGCTTTGGCCTTGTTCTGCAGCTGTCTTGCCCGTTCTCTTGTAGTATTGACTGTACTGTGGTCTGTTAATGCGGTAAATCTGTTCATGCAGCAATTTAGCTCATGGCCTAAGCACTACTGAATAATTTTTTGACGACTTGACAATTTGACTTCCTTTCCTTTAGTGTGGCTTTGGGACCCTCGCCACTGTTAGAGCGAGATTTGAATTTCCTCTTGTAAAAAAAAGCCCTGCATTTATTATTCTCATTTGTTAAAGCATGCATCTGTTACAGTTCCATTTGGTGATAAACAAGATAGTCGTTTAAGGCTTCTGGGATACAGAGCTGGATTTCTTTAGTTATGAGGGGCACCCAGATATTTATTTCTCCTTGTTCTTGCAAGATCTTATATATTGTCTGACACATATTCTGTCAAACAATCATAAAATGGCAATTTTTCCAGCCTCATGTGTTTTCTTCCTCTGGAGCTACTGAGGATCCCCTAACTCTAAAGAGTAAGTAGAAGGGCATGTAGATAAAAATCTCATATTTGCTGTTAATACAGGAAGAACCTCCAAATTCCTTACTTTACCAGGTACAGTCGCTAGGGTTTCTGGATATTGTGACTTAAATGAATCTACGAGACCTTAAGCTTTTAGGAAGAGTGTCTGTATGCACATACATGTTTAGCATGCTCAACACTTGGAATTCCTCGCGTAGTTATTGCACTTGGACTAGTTAATGCCTGACTTTGTGCTGTAGCCAGGTGTAGTTATGAGGAACACAGTGCCTTTATTCTCAGGTCCAATACAGCTCATTACCTGTTTCCTCTCTTTGTCTTTGTGTAGGGTCCAGCAGATTCAGTTACTGGGACGCGATATGAAAGGACCTGCTCATGACAAGCTCTGGAATCAGCTGGAGGCAGAAATACACCTTCACCGCCACAAAACTGTTATTAGAGCCTGTCGGGGTCGGAACGATCTCAAACGACCGATGCAAGCACCACCAGGCCATGTAAGCTGAGAAGGCAAATCATTTCTCAGTAGTTTCCAGGAGTTATGGAAATAACCACATGTTGTTAGCTCTTCATTTTCCTGCAGTATTGCCTTCTTTTGTATGTCACTTCTATATAAATCGTTCTTCTATATAAGAATAAAATTCTTCTATATTCTTCTAAATAAAATCTTTAAAAGGCATTTCGCTGTTTTGGCCCTTGCTGAACTCGCCTCACCTGCCTTGGCACTTGATTCATTCATCAGTCCAGTGTTCAGGGCACAGAAACAGAGACCTTCTGGAAAGAGAGTGACTTTGACCTGTTCCAAAGACTTTAGTTGGTCAGAGATGAATCCTACTGCTCGTGTTGCTGATTACATATAAGATACTAGTGGGTATGTGTAGCTGTAAGGGTTTGTATAAAGGCTACAGCAGCCTAATAAACGCAGAATAAATATATCTATTTACTTGGTCTTTTCATTAGACTTGATTTGAATGACTTTTGGAGTGTTTTGTTTTTATCCTAATATATAAAGCAAGCAGCCCCTTCCTTGGGACAGTACAGTATCTTTTATAATTTGATTAGTTTTAATAATAGTATGTCAGTGAAATTTTAGCAGAGGTTATTATTGCTTCTTGCAGTCCATTTCTATCTTTTCAGTATGTAGCTAGTTGTGTTTTTATTTTTTGTGTTACGCATCATTTGATGTTGAAATAATTTAAATAATTCTTCTAGTCAGGGATGCAGTGTTGTGCTTGTTTTTTACTTATTTCATAGCCTGTGAAGGGCAGCTCTAAGTTTGTCCTGCTTGAAGGACTGTAAAACTTTCTACACTGCCTTACGACAATTAAAATGAGAAAACGCAGAAAGCCAGCAGTGTTTGGTTCTCACACTTACGTTTATGCTGTGTTTATGTTCATCAAACTAGGATCCAGATGCTTTGAAGAAGAGTCAAGGTGTTGGTCCAATCAGAAAAGTTGTGCTTGTTAAAGAAGACCATGAAGGACTAGGAATTTCAATTACAGTAAATACTTCTATTTATTTTCCGTGATACAGAGGAAAGAATCATAAAATTTGTGTTTCTGCTCCTGTAGAATGGGAGAGACAATGAATGGATTGTTAGTATTTAGGATAAAGCAGAGGGCTGCATTATGCAAATCAATAGCTACACTCATGTTGGGTGAAGGATACAGCATGTGTTGATATAATGTGAAATAGCTAACTGCTGATTTGTGTAAAACCAGTGATTTCAGAAAGGCTGAAGTATTAAGAAATAGATTTTAGACCCACTGACAGAGCAGGAATGGGCTGAGAGCTTTCAAAGCTTAGCTCTTGTAGAATAGCTCTTTAAAATAATTGCTGTCTTGCACCTTTTGTGTGCATGTATTTATGTAATAAATACATATATACACGCACTACATATATATAATATATATGTATAGTGTGTGTATATAAGAGGACTCTTGCACTGTACTTTTCTGCATCAAAATTTGAAAATTGGTTTATACTTCTAAATATGAATATTGATTCTTGCAATATAATATGGTATGTGGTATGCTTTTTATTATTTTCAATATAAGAGGCTTTGATGCTGTTTCATCAGCCTAAGTATGGTTTTACTACTATAATCAGAAATGTCACTTTTCACTATTTGGTTGTATATTGGAAATATGTCCACTTCTGAGGAGGGAGGGGAGCAGAAGAATTAAGGGAAGCATATCAGGCATTCTTATCCAACATAGGCTCTCATTTTTTTTTGTAATAAAAGCTGAAATAAGCACTTTGAAGAGCAAATACCAAAATCCTGAGTTTTTGATATTTGCGCTGACATACTGAGTGGACAGCTCCGTTAATTAAAATATGGTTATTTTTATAGGGTGGGAAGGAGCATGGTGTTCCAATACTGATCTCTGAAATCCATCCTGGACAACCTGCTGATCGATGTGGAGGGCTGCACGTTGGTGATGCTATTCTGGCAGTAAATGGGGTTAATCTAAGGGATGCCAAGCACAAAGAAGCTGTGACTATTCTTTCTCAACAAGTGAGTTGCACTTTTCTCCACAGGCAAATTTAGGTGCTTCCTTTATTCTACTGTTGAATTACTTTAGGATGCTGATGTTTTGTCAAGCACAGTAATTCTGTTAAGCTAAGATGCAATGACTCCTGAAGCTGTATCACCTTATGCTTAATCTTGTTATGCCTCGAAGTTTGAGGAGAAAGTGCTGGGTCACTCCTGGTTCAGTTAAATCCCCGTATTGGCTAATGAACCTTCAGTAAAGCTCATGGAAATCTTGTTATATTATCTATCTTGTCTCTACAGAAATAATTATTTAGGGGCATCTTGTTTTTCTTCTGAATATCATCTTTAAGAAATTCAGATAATTTACTTTGATAAGTCATAGCTACAGGCCACACTTCTTTAATCGGGAAGAACTTTCAGCTTAACTGTAGAGTAAAATTGACTTGTTTTAGCTAGCTCAAAACAGTAATCCTATTACATAGCTGTGCAGTAAATAAACTTGTAACTTTGATTGTGTTTTAGAGAGGCGAAATTGAGTTTGAAGTAGTGTATGTTGCTCCAGAAGTAGATTCGGATGATGAAAATGTAGAATATGAGGATGAGAGTGGACACCGTTATCGTTTGTATCTGGATGAATTGGAAGAAGGTGCAAATTCAAGTTCTAATAGGAAAGAAGGAAATGTGGATGTCAAGCCATCACAAGGTAAGCTTTCTGAAGAGTGTTGCATGCTCTTTGACTCTTGCATGCTCTTCAATTCTTAATTCTCAATATGCACAGCAATTTCTAGAATACACTGTTTTTAATTGTAAAATTAATCTTTTGCTAATTCAATTAACCTGCTATTGACTGTCAGATCTTTTGGCGAGTCCCTCGCTTATTGGCCTAGTTTACTTAGGTGAAACTAAATTAACTTTTTTTCACCTTTTCCCAACTTGAAAATCGAATTTATTCTCACCTGATTTTCTGATTGTGGTCTAGGATTAGTTGATTCCCTTGAATCCATTATTTTGTTCACTGCTTATATATATATATATATATATATATTTATATATTTAGATCAGAAAAGTATAGCAGAGTTCCTCTTTTTCTCATGCATTATGTTCTACTAAAAGCTCTTTAGCTCTTTTTCCATAATCTTTTCTGTAAGCCTTCCAGTCTGTGAGGGCAGGTTTGCTAATCTGTGATATCCGAGATTGCTTTTTTTTTCCTTAAATAAAATTTATTTTTAACTTGCAGTGTTTGATAAGAAACCAAGTATTGATGGACATGAAAATGGAGACCTGGGGAATTCAGTTGAAGCTCCGTTAGAAGACACTGCACCCAAATTAGCACGTTCTGCTGAGTCTTTATCATAAAAAAAAAAAAAAAGGAATAATGATAATAATAAATCAACTGGACAGATCCCATTTTGGGGAACAACTGATAATCATTACTGACTGTTCCAAGTTGCATATACTAGTGTAGGTTTTAAAGGAATGATTAAAAGTCAAAGGGACCTGTATTATTGTTGCCTGGAGAAAAGGCGGTTACCTCAGGACTTCATTGTGAGCAATTCTAAATGTGGAAAACTGTCTCTGGCGTGACACGCAGCAGTTACCTAGCACCTGGCATGTGACATGAATTTTCTTTTAATAATAAGCACCAAAACATGGGATTTCTTAAAAGGCTGGTCTTAATGAGTTCATCTTTGAATGTTACTAGGGTCCCAAGGGAAGTAAAGTGTGGTCACCTTCGTTTTGTCCCGTTGATGTATTAAAGGGACAGCCCATGTTCCAGCTGGTAGGAAAAAGCCTCATCTCGGGGAGGGGTGGTGGGATGGGGAATCAATTGTACTGTTACATTACACAGTTTCCTACTTGGGATTTTTTTTTAACTGCAGCTTTTAAAAATGACAACATTTTTCTCAGAATAGCAGAAAACCAAAGCTTTTATTTGAGAAAAGACCGACAGAACCCAAAAGGGGCAAGTGAGAGCTTGTTGACCTTTCAGCCCATCACCGTTTTGATTGAGACTTTTGGTATTTTTGTTTTAATCAATTCTCTGCCAATTGTTGGTAATTTGAAGTGTACTCCAAAAGTATTAGAAAGAATATTATGAGTTTCTAAAAGCAAAATAAATTTTTTAAAAAATTCTCAATTATGTCTGCACCCCTCCCCTTTTTCCCCCCCGCACATCATCAGTTTAGCATCCATTTGTGAATGGTTATAGTTTTATACATTTTGAATTGGTCATTATTGGCTTGACATTATGAAATGCTGAGTGCTTTTGGTGGGTACTGAACAAGCTCATTTCACATTAGAATAACCTTTAAAGGCGTGAGAGTTGCGTGCACAGTACTTTAAAGGAGTTACTCAGAATCATACAGTGTCTGGCCTTATCTGTTATGATATGACAGTCCTGTTAACCTATAATTGTCTTATTGTTGAAAAAAGTCTTGCTGTTGAAACAAAATGTTACTCTCTTTTTAAAAAAGCAGTGTATTTTAAAATAGCTTTTTAATTGGTGTACATCTAAAGGCCCAAGGCGTGGTTGCAAACGGGGATGTCGGTGATGGTTTCTTGGCCAATTTCTCGTATTGCATTTGTAGATTTTTCAGTGAAGTGCCGTACTCTCCATATGCAAACTCCATATTGCAGTAGCATTTATTTCAGGATGTGGTGCCTGCTTTCCTGCTCGTTACTCTGCAGGCTGTTGAAGAGTAACTTGGAAAGATGCAATTTGGTCCTTGGAGAGTGGAACTGCTGTGAGATGAAGTGGCAGCTTGGCGAGTATAGGGTGTGCGTAGATAAGAAAACCTCCAAGGCCTTTAGAGTAATATCAATTAATCTAATGTTCAAAATTGTGATGTAGAACACGGTTACTTGTTTCTCCTAAGAGCACTATATATATATGTTTATAGAAAAGTCCTAAAAATGTATATACTTTATTCAAAGATTTTGCTATTTATAAATCCCTTAACTCTGCTATTTACATTGCTGTTTTTTGTGTATGTGCATGAGTTTCATGCACTTGATGGAATTACATTATTTGTTTCATTTTTGTAATAGCCCTTGTCATACGACGTACTGTTTTAGACTTTTTAAATAGTCTAAATTAAAACATTATCACCAAACAGCAACTGGTATTTAAAAATAGAGCTGTGTGAAGAAGAAACGGGTCCCCAGGCATGTTTCTTTTTCTGAGGCTTCATGAATTTTAGAACACATTGGCTGCATATTAGGAGATGAATCTACTGCCATGATTTTGCATCTAGATTTCTGTTTTTCTTGCAGTTAAAGGTGTGCTCTGAAGTTCTCCAGGGCCCAGGACGTTCTGTATCCTGTCTGTCAGAGAGGACAGTTGAAAGCTAAGTAGGGGATCTCGTCTTTGAAAATCATCACTATATGAAACCCTGCTGCAGTTTTAAGAAACAAGGACTTGTCCAGCTAGTCTAGTAGTCTTTGAAAATCCTTTGAAAGTTTGTCTGTACAGTTTCCCTGTATCTTAGAGGAGAAATGGTTTTACATGTGTTGGTTCTTCCTTCTTGGCACATGTTGTCACCATCACTTTTGACCAGTTTCACCCAGGAGGAGGAAAATGTTACTGGAGTTATTTTCCTAACATTCCTTGTCCACCAGTTTCTCATGATGCTTTGCTCTCTCTGCTGTTATCTGGTCTATTTTAAACCAGCAGAGGAGACCAATAAGGGAACCTTTCCTGGACTTAAAAAAAATGGCCATAATAATAATAAAAAAAAAAAAATCAGGTGGCAATAAATTATCAGCATATTTCTTCCCCACTGTTTTCATAATCTTTATTTAGGAAGCCCTGAATGGGAGGATTTTGCTTAGACACTACAGTATGGCTGTATTCCATACTTGTTAGCAGCTGATTTAAAGTACTGATTTATTGCAGTCATATGGAGATGGTTGGAGATTATATTTAAGCTGAGAAGAGTTTTGCAAGTTGAGATTTCCAGGCTTAGTGGACAAATGGACACTTTGCTCTTTTGTCGGTAACTGGAAGGCTCAGACCTGCTGATTCCCAGATGGTGAATGAGTTTGACTTGGAAGAATTTCCAAGGAAAGTCAGTATTCAGACTCGGTTTTTATTTTTTTGAAGTGTAAAATAGTTTACTTCTGTGTATATATATTTTTACTTCAAAAATAAAATTCTAAAGAGAGAACCGTGTGATTCTTTCAAGTAGGTAATTCTTTGCTTTTTGAAAAGAAAATTTCCGTGGGTGATGGTGTTTTAGCATAAAGATGGAGAGTATTTGTTGGTGTCTGGGCCCAATGTTTACTAAAAGCATGTAAGTTAAGAACAGTGCTTGATGGCAATAAGTTTAACCGATAAAATACTGTATGTAGTATTTCCTTGGTAGAAGTGTATTTATGGCAGTGAGGAGGGTTTGTGTCTATCTCATTGTGTTAATCCACAGTTATGTCAAACAACATTCAAATGCTGTTTACTGTAGCTGTTCCAACCACCTTACAGACTGTAGACTGCCCTCATGCCTGCAGATGTAACATTTTGCAACAAATGTATTATATCTAGTTAAGCTCAATTTAATATTTTTATTAGCCTGTAAATAAAGATACTCTTCTGCATTACGGTGATTTCTTGACCTAATTCATCCTAATATGTCAGGTTTGGGGGTTGGGTTTTTTTGGATGTATACAATAGAGACGCCTAACTGTTATCAAACTCATTCCTATTTGTCATTCCTCAAATTACTTTTTTAATGCCTCTTACCAACACTCAAGTGCTCTTCCTGCCCTTAAGGTGAGGCAGGACTTGAGACCAACCAGGGAGCATGGCTGAATGGCAGTGGTGCAGTGACTGGGACAGTAGCCCTAGTTAAGAATGAGATTTATGGAGGTTTATTGGGAATGTGTGACTGAACTGTGTAAGCAGAGAGAAGAAGGGATTAAAAGATGCATCATGAACAAATAGGGAGAGTGGCAACTGCAAATATTTGGGTTTTAGTTTATAATTTTTAGAAGGATTTAATTATGAGTTTATTTTAAGTAGAGGGAAAGAACAATGAAGAGGGAGAAAATGTTTTTGTTTGAGGTAGATGTAATAACGCAACAAAATTAAAGGTAGGTACCAATGAAGACGGACACAGAAGGAAAGAAGGGGGGGGGAAATCAATTTAATTGTGCCATCTGGGGACAAGGGAGTTTTTTTGCTGCTCCTAGTGGCTGCTGTCACTCAGGAGCTCCTCTGCGTCTTTATTTTTCCTCATAGATGCGCAGATGACAGAAGAGGAGGAACGCGTCCTGACTGGGGATGTTCCTGGGGAGCCAGTTCTGCTCAGCAGAACCTTAGCCCAGCAGCTTAGAAAGAGAATGACTTAAAATGCTTCGGGCTTATCTTCTCTTGAGAATTATGTGTCCTCCAACATCATGTGATTTCCAATTCTTCTGGAAGTAGAACTTTCACAGTTTGAGTGGAACCCAAAAACTAAAAAGCAGTATACTTTCTTCTCTCTTTAGAAGAGAAATATTCCACTTTTTTCCTCACTGGGAGAGGAAATTGCATATTGAGCATATTGCTTCATATGCTCAAATCTCTTGAGTGTCTTGTAGCTCTATTTGGTTTCCCCTCGCTGCAGAAATAAGCCTGAACCTGCTTCTGAGCACTGCACTGCAGCTAAAAAGGCTTTCCAGGCTAAATTCTGGGTTTATGGGTGTTTGCTTCAGTCAGTTGTCAGCCTTTGGTTGAGCCCACTGAGACTCATTTCTCACGTTGGTGCTGGAGAAACATTATAGCTGGTAGCGTTTTAAAAACCCTCAATAGGAGGGTACTTTTCCAGATCTCCAAATGCCACTGTGGTAGGCTGGAGATGCACTGGATTACTTGTAGGGGTCAGTAAAACTGGTTAAAATTGAGGGGTTTTTTTTAAACTTTCTACGGGAGATTATGGTCCTGTCTTCCTCATTAGAAGTTCTTGGAGCTCTCATTTTCTTCAAATCTCCTTTCTGAAATTAAATGAAATTATTTAATACCTAATTTTTGCTGCTGATCCATCTCCACAGCATTTCCTGGCACCAGTGACCTTGCTGGCAGCTCTCTGCTGGCTCGTTTTCAGTGGCTGGGACTCAGACAGGAGGTGAGGAAAGTGTAAAAACAAGCTGAGCAAAAGCATGAGGTAGAGCCCTCCGAGGGCCTTCACAGGCACTTTTTGGTTAACCATAAGCAAGTGCCAGGAATCAACAATTTGAAGATCTTAAATTTTGCCAAGTTAACAAGTGTATCTGTACATCTAGCTAAATGCTATTGATTCCATCTTAATTTTACTATTAGCTGTCTAAATACTTGGGCAAATAATACTTCTGCAGAATAGTATGTGACTTGCTATTTTCCAAGTGTTTATATGTTTAATGTCCATTTCTTTAGGGGAATGGAAGCATTACTCTTGAGGATGCTGAACTCTAGTCGCTATGTGCTCGGTCAGCTAGGATCACACACTGGTCCAGAGTGCTTTTCCTTCCAAGGAGAAATGGGATATCCCACTTGACTCCCTCTTGGAACAACCTGTGGTGAGTTTACTGCCATTGGCCCTCACTTTGCACAGGACAAGTGAAGATTTTTCTTTTGTGTCCTAGTGAGCTTCATGCCTGGTAGGAACCAGGAGCACCTGGTTTAGCCCAAGGGGTGAAACGTTTTCCTCCAAGACAAGTATTAGTTGCTGACTGCAGCGTACAGGCTGTTAGGTTCACTGC